AGAAGGTATGAGCCATCAGAACAGAGAGGCCTTGAGGAGGGGCCTTGAAGTTGCCCATTCACAATTAGGGGTCAGCAGAGCCCAGTCAAATGGCCAGAGTCATATTTTTGTTTGGCTGGAGAAAATGATAATAATAATATATTTATACCCCACCCATCTAGCTGGGTTTCCCCAGCCACTCTGGGCAGCTCCCAACAGAATTAAAAGCACAATAAAACATCAAACATTAAAAACTTCCCGAAACAGGGCTGCCTTCAGATGTCTTCTAAAAGTCAGATACAGCGGTACCTCATGTTATGGATGGGATCCATTCCAGAGGCCCATCTGTAACATGAAAAGCCCACAACTCAAAGCGCCGCATCTGCACAGCTGCACAGAGCGATTTGTTGCTTCTCCACATGAGTGAGCAGCGAAACCCAGAAGTAACCTATTCCAGTACTTCCAGGTTGCCACCGGACACAAGATGAAAACACGCAACCTGAAGCAGACATAACATGAGGTATGACTGTAGTTGTTTATTTCTTTGACATCTGGTGGGAGGGCATTCCACAGGGCGGGCGCCACTACCAAGAAAGTCCTCTGCCTGGTTCCCTGTAGCTTCACTTCTCGCAGTGAGGGAACCGGCAGAAGACTCTCGGAGCTGGACCTCAGTGTCCAGACTGGATGATGGGGGTATACTGGGCCATTTAGAGCTTTAAAGGTCAGCACCAACACTTTGAATTGTGTTCAGAAACGTACTGGGAGGCAATGGAGGTCTTCCAGGACCAGTGTTATATGGTGTTGGCAGCCACTCCCAGTCACCAGTATAGGTGCCACATTTTGGATTACAGTGGTACCTCGCAAGACGAATGCCTCGCAAGACAAAAAACTCGCAAGACGAAAGGGTTTTTGGTTTTTTGAGTTGCTTCGCAAGACAATTTTCCCTATGGGCTTGCTTCGCAAGACGGAAACGTCTTGCAAGTTTGTTTCCTTTTTCTTAACACCGTTAATACAGTTGCGACTTGACTTCGAGGAGCAACTCATAGAATGCGGTGTGGTAGCCTTTTTTGAGGTTTTTAAAGACTTTGGTGATTTTTGAAGCTTTTCCAAAACTTTCCTGACACCGTGCTTCGCAAGACGAAAAAAATTGCAAGACGACAAAACTCGCGGAACGAATTAATTTCGTCTTGCGAGGCACCACTGTAGTTGAAGTTTCCGGGACACCTTCAAAGGTAGCACCACAAAATTCAGACAAGTGCAAATTTCTAAGGAGGGCTGCGTTTCAAGTCTCACATTTTTCAGAAAATGTGATTTGGATAGCTTCACCTTTCAATGTGAACTGAATTGAATTTCTTCCTGTCCCTAATCAAGAGTGGAAAAATGGGAGATGCACTTGGAATTTAAAACTGTCTCAAATACCTTTATGTATCTTTAGATGTTAATATATTTGACTGAAACCTGGGGAAGCGAATGGGGTAGTGTGGGGAAATTTGGAGGAACACCCCCTGCCCCTTGCTCCCTTTCTGACTAATCCCTGAAGCAACCTCTGTCTCCTCCTTTTTTCTTCTTGTTGTTTCCCCTTTCTGTTGCCATAGTTTCACACATTTCTCTGTTTAAAGTGGGTGGAGGCAGAGCAGTTCCATCTGCCATATTTTTCTATCAAGGGTCATCAACCTTTCTGGGCACATCTGCAACCTGGAGAGGATGTTGGGGGCACCATGCAGAGGCTGCAACCATGCACATGTGCCCTGCCACAGTGCACATGCATGCACACTCAGACACAGCTGCGGCTGTGACCTCCGTGCAGTAGGCTAAGGGCTCTCCCAGATGACCTGTTTACTGAGCATTCATCCTGATATGCTTGCACGAAGCTTTAGCGGTGGTTAGACTAGGGCTACGACAAACCTAGACAGCATCTTCAAAAGCAGAGACATCACCTTGCCGACAAAGGTCCGTACAGTTAAAGCTATGGTTTTCCCAGTAGTGATGTATGGAAGTGAGAGCTGGACCATAAAGAAGGCTGGTCGCCGAAGAATGGATGCTTTTGAATTATGGTGCTGGAGGAGACTCTTGAGAGTCCCATGGACTGCAAGAAAACCTATCCATTCTTAAGGAAATCAGCCCTGAGTGCTCACTGGAAGGGCAGATCCTGAAGCTGAGGCTCCAATACTTTGGCCACCTCATGTGAAGAGAAGACTCCCTGGAAAAGACCCTGATGTTGGGAAAGATGGACACAAGGAGAAGGGGACGACAGAGGATGAGATGGTTGGACAGTGTTCTCGAAGCTACCAGCATGAGTTTGACCAAACTGCGGGATGCAGTGGAAGACAGGAGTGCCTGGCGTGCTCTGGTCCATGGGGTCACAAAGAGTCAGACACGACTAAACGACTAAACAACAAAGACTAGGGTTACATTCACACAATACACGTAAATAACTGTGGTACCACTTTAAACAGTCGTGGCTTCCCCCAAATAATTTTGTGAGCTGCAGCTTGATAAAGATGCTGAGAGTTCTTAGGAGACCCTATTCCAGTCTCAAGTTCAATTCATCCCAATCTCCACCTGTTTGTGAATGCTTTTTCTTTTTTTGAAGTCCTCAGCATTTTCATACAAATTTCTCCTAACATACACATTTTCGTATGCAGTTTTGGCTAATATGCACATTTTTGCACAAAGAAACATTTCTTAAGGAGTTTTTCATGTACTCGTACCAGACCCTACAAGTATCCTTATTTTCCATGGACAGCCCTGGATTTACTGAAGCCATTCCAGTTTCGGATTTGATCCTGGGATGTCCTGCTTTTCCTTAGGATGTCCTGATTTTATTCAGAGAAATGTTTGAGGGTATACCGTACTTTACCCTAGCACATGAATTTTGTGTATACATTATGCAGCTGTAGAATTGCTTTGCAAAATTCAGAGAAGGGCAGATTTCAAAGGCTGGCTGAGTTTGGGCTCATGTGTAGTTTGGAAAAGGCTAAATTATGTAAGTTTGTCTTTAAAAGCAAACCGAATCGAACTCCCCCCCCATCCCTAGGTATGTGGCATGGGAAAGGTCCCAAGGGCCTGACAGAGAGGCATCGGGGGCCTCATTCTGTTCCCTAAGCCCAAGGTTCCCCATTGCCATTTTATAGCTATAAGAACAGGATGCAAGGCATTAGAGGAGCCTTCTTCGTGCTTAATGCTGATCCTTCTCATTGCTATTCCAGGAGGAGGGAATTGAGCCAAGGAGCATTATCTTAAAAATAATGACTACTGTATTTGATGAAGCCATTTGTGGGCTTAGAAAACTATTAAGAATGAGGAGGTGCCTTCCTAGAACGATCCTGTGACAATGGAGGACCCGCAGGTCGTGCTCATCTGGAAACGGTTCTGACGAAAAGCACGGCTTGCAATGGAATATGGATGCACTAGAGACAGACAATCAGAGAGGCAAGAAAGGGACCTTTGGTGGTATAATATCGGTTGCCACAGGGCCAGGAATGTATCTCCCTCTGTGACAAATTCATCCCAGTTTGCGGCTCATTGTTTCGTGCACCTGTTCTAACAACACGGCTTACGCTGCCCTAACTCCCACTGATGCTATTGACTCACAGGACTTGAGCCAACAGACACGTTGTTAGCCAAACACAATTTAGTGGCCTTGATATTGTAACAATTGGAAGCAATTCAATTGCCTACATTACACAAGGCGCAAGCCCTGACGCGCCTAGTGGTCCCTTCTGACCTTCAAAGTGCATGCGTCGGTGAAACGGTACAGAGAACTTTTAATGGACGGATCGGTGGAGTTGGACCCTTACGTGTGCTAACGATTAGGACTGCCTTGTGCTTTTTAATTACTGTCTGATCTACTGAGGGCTCAGGTGCCAAAGCAAAGCAAAAACAACACAGGGTGAGTTGCTAAGGACACACAAGCCAAACCTGGGACTCAGCTACGCAGCTGCAAATTAAACGTTTTAAGTGTGTTGTAGAGTGAATTATGCAAACGTGACACTAGATGGCGACGGTGAGCTATGGCGAATTCAATATATTTTTCAAAACTTTTTTTTAAAGGCTTTTTTTTTATTATGTGTGTGTAGATTCCACCGTGGACGTTGCTTGGCAGGGCATCCACATTTGTGCCATGAATAGCAGCCTTGGCTAAGGAGACATCACTGTACCAGGCCCAAGTCAGGCCCAACCCCATAATGCGACACCCCAGGACAATCTAGCCCCCAACCCCAACTCTGCACAGAGAAGGTTTGGAGTGCACCTTAATGCTGGACGTTGTTGTTGTTGTTACACGTTGTTCCAATCTCTGCATGGTAAGAGACTCCAGGGATTCTAAGCACTTTCTCCAGGCTTTCAGTTTCCTATCTGTCTGTCTGTCTGTCTGTCTGTCTATCTATCTGTCTGTCTATCTATCTATCTATTGGTTTTTGCATATATTTTCCAAACAGAACAAATCATCTCATCTCATCTTATACATCATTTTTGCTATTTTAGCCTGAGACTTCCATCAACCACGTCTTATGATTTTCAAACCTCCTCTCTTAATCTTACATTTGTTATCATACCTATTACTTTTAATAATCAGTAACTTAAAATCCATTCTCATGTCTTTTCTGCAATATTTCATATAGTTCTCCTTACAAGACTTCTTGTAATCCTACAAGTAGTCAATTGATTACAATTGTCTTTCAAATAACTTGCATATTTACTCCAATCTTACAAGAATTACTGGTTCCGCTGGTTTCGAATTCTCCCTGTCATCTTATCCAATTCTGCATAGTCTATTAATTTCGTCTGCCATTCCTCTTTCGTTGGTAGTTTTTCCTGCTTCCATTTCTGTGCCAATAATACTCTTGCTGCAGTTGTTGCATATAAAAACATTTTTTTATCTTGTTTATTAATGTCAGTGCCTACAATACCAAGTAGAAATGCTTCTGGGGTTTTTTTTTACAAATGTATATTTCAACATCTTTTTCATCTCATTATAAATCATTTCCCAGAAGCATTTCACTTTCATACATTCTCGGCTTTCAGTTTCCTTGGAATGAGGGTTAGAGGAGACTGTGGTGTCTTTCGCATGAATGGCTTTCTTTACACATATATTATACAACTTGACGACAGGGGAGGGGGGCTCACAGCATGAACCCCACAACATTTTGTTTCTCCATTCGGATTCCAGGCAAGCCCCCGAGTCATAGCTTTGGATCCAGCACGGAGCAGACTGTGTCTCCTGCTTCTATTATCAGACCAGCTCAGTGTCAAACTGCAACTCCACATGCAACAGATTGAAACAAAGTGCTAGAGCCCTGGAGTGGTAAATCAGGCTGTGTCGCGTGCAGGCTGGGGCTGGCGGCAGCTGCAGTCTGAAGCCTCAGAGTTGTGCCAGGTTGACAAAGACTCCTCTAAGCACATGTTTTGAGGAGAGGCTGTTGACGGTGGCTAGATGGAATCCATTGTGGCTTTTACCCTCAGCTCTCCACACTAAGAGAACGGAGACTCTCAGTGCCTGTTTTGATTTACTGAAGGACGCAAAAAAAAAAAAAAAAAAAAAAAAAAGACCGGGGTTGAATTGCGTCAAAAGGCAGCTGCAGCTTCTTACAGCCAAACAAAGAATCTGCTCTATTATCTATGGAGAAATAAAACTCCGGCATGAGGAACCAAAGCTCTTTGAGTAAGGCTCAGCTCTTAAATTAGGCCCTGGCTACTCCTGGCCGTGGAAGCTTTGAAAACTCAGCATCTACCAACAATAGGTTGGGAATGAACAAGTGCTTCAGGAGCTCATCTTGAGCAGCAGCTCAGACCCTGGCTCTCAGCCACATGAGGAAAAGCCAGCCAGATTAGTTGGACCAGCAGCACCAGAAGCCGAGGTGTTGGGTACCAATCTGGGCTGCAGCATCCTAGGTGAGCTTGTTGGCCAGGTAGGGTTGGCGTCTTACGTACCATCAGGCACAGAGGGCACCCACTGGCATAAGTTTGCCTTTACAGTGGTACCTCGGGTTAAGTACTTAATTTGTTCCGGAGGTCCATTCTTAACGTGAAACTGTTCTTAACCTGAAGCATCACTTTAGGTAATGGGGCCTCCCGCTGCCGCCGTGCCGCTGGAGCACGATTTCTGTTCTCATCCTGAAGCAAAGTTCTTAACCCGAGGTAATATTTCTGGGTTAGTGGAGTCTGTAACCTGAAGCGTATGTAACCCAAGGTACCACTGTACTGATTTATATTTGTCGGTGGCCATTTGAAAATAATTACTATGATTTAAACAGGAATATGCAAGACATTTCACCATAGTGGGGTAGATTGCGACCAGGTGGCCTTTGTTAAAGTAAGGCAAGTGGCCACTGTACCCTTGAGCCAAGCCCTGCTGAACTGAGACCTTCAGAGGCACTGACTCTTAAAGCTGTACCCTGCCCTGAAGAACACAAACCCCACAAAACACACCACACCTCACAAGCCCGTTAGACTGCTTGTCAACCAAAGAGACTGACAAAGAGGAGACAATGAGGAGTCACACTCCTGAGTAGGCTCTAAGTCCTTAGTCTTCACTAAGGCTGGGTCCATTAGAGTGAATGGGGCAGCGCCCCACCAAGCTCAGTTAGCCTTAAGCCAGCCCCCAACCCAACTGCTTTCTTGCTTACAACCTGCCCACAGGTTGTCACTGCCTGCCGACTCCTTCCTCCCAAGTCCCTTGCAGAACTCAGCAGGGAGAAGGATGGAACTAAACTAGAATTAGCTGGCTGTGTCCTTGGCTCTGCCTCCACCTCTCCTTGACCTCCCTGCTTTCTGCCCCACCAGTGGCTACCAGTTACCACTGCACCTGAGGAGGTGCAGAAATTTGGGACAAGTAGACTGGATGCACAGGAATAAAGGATCTCAGTTCAGCCTCCGACGGCAGAACCAGTTGCTTCCTTGGAATTCTCTGAAGTTCTGCAGCTGAGGCCGGCTTTGCCCCATCACACCCTGTCTGCTTCTGCTCAAGGTCAGGATGGGATGGAGTCCAGCTTGAATCTCCTAGCGTGGTTCCTGTTTCCTCCCATTTTGGAAATTAAGGTGGTTGTATAAGGAGGTTCTTTATATCCACAGCTGCTATATAGCCTTTGTGGTATAGTGGTTAGAGAGTTAGGTTCAAATTCCCATTCAGCCATGAAGCTCACTCGGAGACCTTGGACCAGCCATGGTCCCTCAGCCTGACCTACCTCACAGAATTATTGTGAGGAGAGCAAGACATACCCTCCAACATTTCTCTGATGAAAACAGGGACGTCAATAATAATAAAAAAACAACAATTTATTTGTACCCTTCCCATCTGATTGGGTTGCCCCAGTCACTCTGGGTGGCTTCCAACAAATATAAAAGCGTAGCAAAACATTAAACATTAAAGAAACTTCTGCTGCCTTTAAATGTCTTCTAAAGGTTGTACAGTGGTACCGCAGGTTAAGTACTTAATTCGTTCCGGAGGTCTGGTCTTAACCTGAAACTCTTCTTAACCTGAAGCACCACTTTAGCTAATGGGGCCTCCTGCTGCGCCACCAGAGCCTGATTTCTGTTCTTATCCTGAAGCAAAGTTCTTAACCTGAAGCACTATTTCTGGGTTAGCGGAGTGTGTAACCTGAAGCGTATGTAACCCGAGGTACCACTGTATATTTACTTGTCTCCTTAGCTTGGGGGTTGCATAACTCCGTACCTTCCAACATTTCTCTGATGAAAATAGGGATGTCCTAAGGAAAAGGGGGACATTCCAGGATCAAATCAGAGACTGGGACAGCTTCTTTAAATCTGGGTCTGTCCCTGGAAAATAGGGACACTTGGAGGGTCTGCAAAGGGGAGCAGAGGAAACATGTGCACCACCTTGAATGCCTTGGAGGAAAATCAGAATATAAATGCAATGAATAAAGCACTCCTCCAGACCAGGTGCTAATCTATATACAACTTCTTCCTGCCCCCCTCCCACCCCACAAGCTCATAATGTCTCACCTGGAGTACTGCAAGATGGCATAAACTTTAGTCTAGCTCGCAGCAGTCTTATAATTGGGGGTGGCTGAACAAAAGCCAGGTCAGACCCTCATAATGATTGCGATAGAAATTGGCTGGGAGCTGCATTGCTTTGCATGGACCCTCTCTCCCAGTGCCAGAGATGGGAGAGGAGGAAGAAAATTGTCAGAGGTGTGAGAGGCCTGAGCTTTTGCTGCTTGTTTGTCCCTGAGCCAGCCACATCTGTTTGAGGAAAGAACCCTTTCCCCCCTTTCCCCCTTTTTCATAGCTCTTGGGTATCATTTGTTGGGGAGCTGGCTGCTGTTTCCATTCCTGAGAAACCCTTTTTGAACAAGAGAGTTGATGACGAAACCAGGCCCTCTTAGCATCAGGCCACAGAACCTGGGGGATAATATATCTGTCGCTGGGTGAATTCCTCAGTAACAGGGGCCCTAGGCTGGTTTTCACCCTCTCACTCTGCTCTCATGTAAGAAGCTTGCTTTGGTAGGGGACGGAGAAAGCAGCTTCAAACAAGCATGGAGCACCCTGTGGTTTACGGCATGAGGGTAGCGCATGCCAGGGTAAATGAGTGAGGTCAACTGCAGCTATACTAGAGAAGTACTTCACTGTCCTTGGTTGAACAGTGCATGAATAGCAGAATGAAATGAAGCCGCAGACGGGCGAGGAACAGTGTTTCCTCCGCCTGCAACATCTTCCACATGGATATTTCCAGGCCTTCTGACATTAATGCTACAGTGGTACCTCGGGTTACATACGCTTCAGGTTACAGACTCCGCTAACCCAGAAATATTACCTCAGGTTAAGAACTTTGCTTCAGGATGAGAACAGAAATCATGCAGTGGTGGTGCAGCAGCAGCAGCAGGAGGCCCCATTAGCTAAAGTGGTGCTTCAGGTTAAGAACAGTTTCAGGTTAAGAACGGACCTCCGGAACAAATTAAGTACATAACCAGAGGTGCCACTGTATTTCATAAATGCTTTGCTTACGATCTCCCCACATCATCTCCCTTCTGCAAAATCTCACCTCTCTCCATCATTTCCTTTGGCATCGAGGGCTGGTGTTCTTTGTTTCAAAGTGTTCTGGCAGTCGTTTATCAAGAGTGCTTGTCTCTTATTTCAAAATCCAGGGGGGAACAGATGTCTGTGGATCTACTGTAACTGAAGATACTATCTGGAGTAACAAAGAGGGGGAAATTTGATTCAGCTGACATTTGAAGGTGAATCTACCAAATTAGCAAATGGGGAAGGGGATTAACTGAAACACAGGCCTTCTTCAAAATGTGCAGTTATCAGAATTTTCAGATACAGATCTCTAACGAACGCTTTCAAAAAATTGTACATTAAGGGAAATTGTGAACAACCATGAATATATTAGTGAAAATAACATACTATACCATTAGAAATGCTAATGGTGAAGCAATATAAAAACACCTTAAATAAATAATTGGGGAAATTGCTTGCAAAAATGTGTACAATAGTCAAAACTGCCTACAGAAATATGTTTAGTACCAGACATTTGCACTAAAATACTGATTCTCATGTGAATTTTTAAAAATAATAAATCGCTACAGAAATATGGATAACTGAATTTAATGCTGGGAAAAGTAGGAACTGAGAGAACCGAAAATAACAGCTCCATCCATTCAGTGCTATTTTTCTAGAAAAAGAGGTGCCAGAGCTCACCATCAATGCCTTTCTTGTTCTCTTATAATGGCAATGGCACCCATCGGAGAGTTGCCGGAACTGAGTTCTAGTGAGTTACATCTGAAAAAACGCCCTGTGTCAATTCTTAATCAGCTCCCCCCCTGCCCCCTGGCTACACCCATGGCAACATGAGTTCCTCTTTGCTACCCATGAATATCTGAAAATAAGCACATAATGCAGATCCGCAATGAGATTCTAACTCAAATAAGCTCACCCTGCAGCCACTCAAGGATGCAGAGAGCTGTGAAACTGTCGTAAGAAGGTATTGTTTGTTTCCAAGCATCAACTCTATTCTATTCAAAACATCCAACATTATTTTTTACAAATGCACAAATCAAGAAAATGAGACAGCAATGGGGAACCTCAATCCTGGGGTGGACTCTCCCTCAGTCTGGCCCTTGGGACTCTCCCCAGAACACACCTTTTCTACATCTACACCAATGGCTTCACACATTTTTCCAGGCTGGAATGTGTCCTTGAATACTGATACTTTTGAAGGTGGATAGTGTCTCTCTGTGTGTGTGTTTGGAAATTAACCTATTGTACAAAAGCAGAATTAGCATTTATTTCTGCACCCACCTTTCAATGCAGCCCCAATAAAGTACAATGTGATCAAATTAAAAGCCACCCTCAAAGCCTGCTGCAATAAATGTTTTCACTGCCCAATGAAAAGGAAGATCTCGGGTGTTCTACATCCTTGGTGCCACAACAGAAAATTACATCTTCCTCCTGCCCGCTCGCTGAACTGAAAACAGCTTTCTTCTTTCCAAGGTCAGCACTCTGCACTGACACACACAACTGAGGATAGGAATCCTAACAACAAGATATGGTTGTGTGTGTGCAGATGTAGGAAATCTCATTTCATGTCAACAATGCTAGGCATGAGGTCAAGAGTAAATAGGCCTCCCACCAATAATTGAAAAGGCTTGGGAGGAATGGGATGGGATGGAGAAAAGTTTGCTGGTTATTTACTGTGACAGCAAGGCAGATCTTGAACTGGTTGTTCCTAGGGTTGCTAACACCATACTGGGTCCCATGGTTGTCTTATTTCATAACATTCCAAAAATGGAACTCTTTGATTTCAGCTACTTTCAGTCAATGCAGGGGAACCCATGGAGTTTTAAGTTGGATCCGAACACTCAGTAAACAGCAGGGATATTGATTTGTCTAACCTCCCACTAAAACATATTTCCCAAGCACTGAAAGAAGAATTCAAGTTGCAACACTTATTCCCAAACTTATGAAAATCTCGATCTGTTGACAGAACAGACAGCAAAGTGGCTTTTGCTGTTCTGTTTTCACAAGGCATGAAATCCCAATAGTCTACAAAGTGGGCCCTACATGAATCACAAACATTATAAATTTGGGGAACCTTGGTAAGTCCAGATCACATCTCTTTTAATCCCAAATATTGCAGCGAATCATTTCTTGGAGAGCTTTAGACCAACAGTGATTAACCTTTTCTAGCCAGTTGTCCAGATCCTTAACACACACACCCAAGTGTTGTAGGTCATTTTGAATTTTTGACCAATGAAAACATTGTGGCTTCAGCTCCAAGTCAGCCTCCAAACCACACCCCTGCATGCGTGCCTCTTCTGCTTTGTGTAACATGCAGTCTGTTGAAGAGTTCTGGTGGACTCAGAGGTGTGCCCCGGGAAGTGATGTTATTGGCTCCCCATTAAATAGTGGTGCTCCATTTGTGCCCAACCCTGTCCCACTGCAACAGTGCAGCAGAACATAATGCCTTGTTGGAAGAGTTTGGAGCACAGCCTGGATCTGACTGGGAAGGGCTGTGTCTCTGCTTGGCTCTGCTCTCTGTGGGAGAGACCACAGTCTGAAATCTTGGAGAGCTGCTGCCAGTCAGAGTGGACAATACTGAGCTAGATGGACCAATGGCCCAACAGTACAAGGCAGCTTCCTATGTTCCTATCACACATATTACCACTGTTTTGGGTCCTTCATGGCAGAACTGCCTGAGTGGTAAGGATATGCAGGTGTAACATTCAGCTGCTTTATTTCTGAAATTGCACTGGTGTATTTTCCCTACTAGAGGCATATCTCTGGACACACCAGAGTAGTAGCTTCTTCCAGATCCTAAAGTTCCCCAGCTGCCGTATCTGGAGCATAGGATTGTACCCTAACCACCATATCCCGATCCTTTGGTTCAGCATGCCTATTTGAACAACAGTCTTTTTTCCTGCAATTTGTCTAACTAGACAAATCATGAAAGGAATATTTTCCTAGGTGGATGGTGCTTGATTCTGGGGAATATATGCCTATTTAAAAGCACAGAATCAGAGATACTTCTTTTCTCACCCCCTGCAAGTGTTTATTGACCACTTACATAGAAAGGTATCCAAAATTATATCATGCACGTGCAGTAGCTCTTATATTCCATCACCTGCATGTGCACGGGTGGAACAGTTTGTAAGAACTATTTGTAAAAGCCTTTGTAGCCTATGCAATGCTTGGGGAACCTTTTCTTTTCTGCTGAGGGCCACATTCCCTTGGGGATACTTTTTTTTGGGGGGGAGGGCGCATGCAGTAGGTAGGGCCAGAGCCAAAAGTGGGCAGAATTTACAAGATTGCATAGAACTCTCTCTCTTGCTATCTCTCTCTCTCTCTCTCTGTGTGTGTGTGTGTGCGCGCGCAGCACACCATTCTCCCTGAGTGATTTTGATTTGTGTCCTTGAAATAGGACTCATTATAGCCTTTATTTCCCTAACATGCTGGATTAAGAAGAAAATCAGACAGATAAAAGACTAGCAGATGAACTTGAAGCTCCGTTAATCAAGAGCATGTGGCCATCTTTGATTGAGGAGTGTTGGGTCATGTTGGTTGCAAAAGCCATCAAGAAAGTCCTTAGAAGCTTTTGAGAGGGTAACTGATCCATTGTGATGCTTCATATGCATGATATTAGGGAGGACTTCAAAAGAAAGACTTCAGAAATATGCTTTTGATAGGAAGCCTTTAAAAATGATATTGGAAAGATACCAGCTATGGGAAAGGCTTCCAGCGAAAGTACTTGTGGGGTAAATTAAGGATATAGATGATGAAATTGTTGGGATGGGTCAGGTCAACTGAAGCATGGCCATTTATGAGCAGATGACAGCAGGAAACAGGAAAGATGTTAGGGCTGCTAGTGGAAAGATATGGAGAAGGGTGATAGAAAAACAAATTAAATAGTAAAAAACAAGTTTAGTCATACATTTAGTCAAAACAAGATAGTATGAAGACTTGACACATTGGGGAAAACACAAGTTGGGCACAAGTCTCTTGTATGCCATATGGTAGCGAAAGGGTGGGAGATTCCCAGAGCAAGAATGGTTGGAGCAAACCTCTAAAATGGCAAGTATTGGGGCTTTTGGGAGCATTCAGTCACAACTGACCATTTACGAGGATACTTTATTGCATCTGATCACACAACACCTTCTGACCTGGTAAGACTCCTCCTACCTATTAGTCGACTTCATCAACCAAATAGTCTAGATTTCTGCTGTGCTGGGATACTATACTGTTTGCTTAATATGTTGGATTATTTTTAGCATAGGTTGTGTACATTGAAGTAATGTATGCCATATGAGAACTGTATTAATCAAAGTGTGAATAAAGCATTGAAAAGGTGTTCCATGTCCTTGTCTCTTGTTACTGATACTGGTGGTAACTGACAACTGGATAAACATCCCATTTTAGTTCAGTCAGGCATTTCAACCACAAAAATTTCTAAAAATGTAAAAAAAAAAAAACAGTAATTGGTAATCAGTAACCTGTTTGGCTAACACTCCCTGTGCCATCATATTTTCTCTCTGCTCCTCTCTGTGTCACCATCTGGCAGACCACAGGCTCTCTATCACGCATATACTGTATTGCTTACATTGCCAATTACTATATACCTTTGGCATGGGTGCTGTTTGCTAAGGCCTAAAATTTGGCCATGGCCAAGGCTATTTCATTCTTTTAAGCACTGGAAGATGTTCAGCCGATAGAACTAAAGCTATGTTTCCCATCACAAAGCCGCAGCGACGACAAAAGAGGCAACTGCCCAACAACTCAAATGGTTAGAAAAAACTGAGATCTATCCAGAAGCAAGGGTCAACATGGTTTACAAACTGTGTTCCACTTCCAGGAACCCTGAAGTTCCCAGAAAACTAAACAAGGACTTCTCAAGATAACATTGGTCATGACAGGGAAGTGAAAAGGCAGCTTACCATCCTCAGCTTACAATTTCCCTGTGATGCACAGTGTTGGGTATGTCCCAGGGTACAAACAGGTGGAACAATAATGGGGCCCAAGAGGTCAGGTCAATGCCCCATGTGAAGGCAGTGTGCACACCTTAGAAGAGGGATGGGTAACCTGTTTCGGTTTGAGGGCTATATTTCCTGCAGTGCAGCCTTCTGGGTGGGGGGCACATACCAGTGGCAGGTGTGGCCAGAGGCAAAAGTAGCCAAAGCAATGTGTGGACATTTTACAGTAAGCCAGTTTCTACACTCCCCTTTCTCCTTCCATCTAGGCAAGTAAGAGGCATTAGCTGAGTTCAAGGACATAGTCCATCCAGCAGAAAAAACACCTGGGGAGCATGCAAAGCAGGACCGGTGAAAGGTGTGGCTAGGGAGAGGGCCAGATATTCAAGCCCCGAGGGCCGCATTTGGCCCTGGGCCTGAAGTTGCCCACTCCTGCCTTAGAACAAGCCCCCAAAATTTTTGCAGTGCAAAGAGTATTTGTTTAGGAGTTTCCTCAGTGGAAAATAGAATAGTCTGTGTATTATCTCAAGCTTCAAAGCCTGGGGCCTCTCAGAAGATATGTAAGTATGTGTTTTTTCATCCTGAGGGAGAAAATCAGTTTTTGTACTGTTCCCACAGGGACGACGTTTGGACATCAGAAATTTTTTCTGACATGCATGCTGAAGCTTTTCCGGGGAAACAAGTTGTCACAGTGCCTGGAGGCTCCCACTGGTTTAGTAGTAGTTCCACTGTGCGTCTGGGGTGTCCCAGTGCCTTTTTTGGGGTGCGGTAGAGTCATTGTTGCCCTCATGACCTGTTTGTGGAGATGTGTGTGCTTTGTGGTTGGTTGTGGGGAGAGACGTTGCCATGGTACCTAAGGTTGCCATGGCACCCTACTAGGCTGTGGCAAGGCACCCAACTGGTGAGAGCAGTTGGCATGGCAACCTCGGGGGGGGGGTTGGCATCAGGCTTCCTCCTCCCCATGCTGGGAGGTGGGGCAGAAATGGCCCCCCAAAGGCTCTTTTATGGGGCGGGTACCGTACGCAGCCCCAGCTCTGATGGTGGCCACGTCAGTGGAGAACATGGTGGTGCTCATGCCCCCTGCCAGGGTATGGCGGAGCAGGCGTTACTAAGTCGCCTTGGGGAGGAGAGAGGGATGCTCCACGTTTGCCGCGAGGAGCCCTCCCTCCCAGGAAGCTGGTTGCCATGGCGCCGCCTTAGGCGAGGATGCGGTTGCCATGGCAGCCAAGCGGGAGGAGGCGGAGGCAGAGGGGTACCGAGGCGCCACCCTCGCGACCTCCGTCCGCCAGGGGCCGCTGCGGAAACACAGAGAACAGCAGCCACCGAAAAGCAAACCAGGGCGGTCGACACTCTGTCCACTGACGCTTGTCGCTCGGTGGTTCCTGGGTAAGTCTCCGCTTTACCGCTGCTACGCTCCTTCCGTTCGCGGTGCGGTAGGCTATGGGGACTCGTTGGTAGTGCCTGACGTCACTCACCCTCTTCTCCTCCTCCTCCTCTTTCTTCGGCGGAAACATGGCGGCGGCCTCCGCGGAGTGAGTTGTGGAGGCGGGCTGCTGTTCTTCCCCCGTCAGGGGAGGCCTGGGTGGGAAGCGGCGAGGCGGGACCTCTCCCTGCTCGACCCTTCCGTCGCACCCGCGGAAGCCCGAGTTTGGGGGCGGGAAGGGTTGGCTGGGAGGGGAGAGTTCGCGCTGCTCCCCTCGCCCCTCTCCGTGGCCTCGGGTCCTCGCCTGCCCAAAATAGCAAGGAAGTTGAAACGTTCAGTGACTACCCGGGAAGCAGCACCTAGAAATCCCCTTGAAAGACGCATCTTTGAGCAATTTAGTCAGTGTTTCGTGTCGAGGGTGCTCCCCCGCCTTTTAAAACAATTCATAAATAAATCTGATGGTTGAAAGTTCCCAGAAGTCACACAGCTATCCGTGGAGGAGGAGGATGCCCACTGTCTCTCTGCAGGCTTGGCTGTCCTCAGCCCGTGTTTCCTTCGAACCAGCATCTGCTGCTTGCCCATGTCTGCTTCACAATATAGAGATGCGCAGAACCGCCCATCCTTAGAGGAGGCTGCCTGTTGCATCTGTGCAGGAGTTGCTGTGCCTTCCTTTCCTCCTTCCAATCCTTGAACAGTGACTTTTTGTAGTAACCAAGGTGGGTTGAGCGTCATTGAGGGTGGCTGATTACCTAGGAAGGTGCCTTATACTGAGTCAAACCATTGGTTCACCAAGGTTGCAGACAGATCTTTCCAAACCTATCTTCAGATGTGAGTGTTTGAGTCCGGGACTCTTTGAATTCAAAGTATGTGCACTGCCACGGTGCTATGGCTATTTTCATAAATGCTACACACACACACACACACAAGTTTAGTTCTACCAAGGCACACTTTTCTGTCAGATCTTTGGGGAACACTAGATAAGAATATTTGGACTTGGACCCAGGTGACCAGGATTTAAATCCCCATTGAACCCTGAATCTGGCTGGGTGACCTTGGGCCACTCGCTAGACTCTGCCTAATCCTTTCTCTAATGGCCAGTGCAAAGATAAAGTTGTAAAAGAGGGAGCCCTGAACTCTGAAAAGCATTGGAAATCCATGCTTCTGCAGTTTTGCTGCAGCATCTCTTGTATGGCACCATGAAGATATTTTTTTGTTAAAGCTTGCTTCTAGTATAATATATTAGAATGATGTAATTTGGTTCTGTGCTTCTGTTGTTTCTAGAGTACTTTTTGTTGTATAATAGCAGGCATTCATTTTCATGATACATACATGTCACTCCAGAGAATCTTCATGTTTCATTTCAGCTCATATTTCCTGAGACACTGTATTAATAGATATAGCTGCCTAGCTGTTCTGTTGGGCCAGATCATCTGTTACTTTACTGCAAGAGTGCATAGAAATATTGAAGTGGGAAGAAGTTTTCTTACTTGCCAATTCCTTCTTGCAAAATTTTAAATGTTTGTAACAAATGTATTATTACAATTCTGGCTTTCCCACAAAGAATAAGGCAATGCTCAGTTCTCGTATGTGTTTTGTTAAAGCCCAGGTATCCCCTTCAGGCTTTGTATATTGAATACATGTAAACAGCTGCTGGCCAGTGGGTAGGCAGACATTCCTTTGGCACTCAATACAAAGAACTGGGCAGAACACTGATAGGGAACTTTGAGATGTGGCTACAAATCCCATTATCCCAGACCATTGGCTGTGCTTGCTGGAACTGATGAGAGTTGGAATCCAGCAACATCTCAAGAGCCATAGGTTTTCCATCCATAGGACAGAGTGTTGTGCCACCTTTAAGCTAACAGAAATATTGTTGCATAAGCTTTCATGGGTCAGAGTCCTACCTCACCACATTTGGCATACTAGATAGTATTTGTTGTTGTTATATGAACCATGATATATTTATTCTTAAAGAGATGCTGTGTGTGAATCTAACACTGACTTCTATTTCCTTTTATCTCTCTACAATTTGATTCTCACAGCAACCACACCCTTCTTTTCTTGGACAGCATGATATGCCTTTTGACTCTGTCAGATTCTAGCCACCCTGGGACTTTTTCCACTTGAAGATATTATGGATCATGAGGCCCCAACTATCAGGCCTCGTCGGATCCAGAACCAGAACGTCATCTACCGTCTAGAACGTCGAAGGATCACCTCTGGCAAGACTGGCACCCACTGGCACCAGGTGCGCATCTTCCACCAAAATGTCTTCCCCAATTTTACCGTGGTCAATGTTGAAAAACCACCCTGCTTCTTACGGAAGTTCTCCCCTGATGGGAGGTACTTCATTGCCTTCTCCTCAGATCAGACTTCACTGGAGATCTATGAGTATCAAGGGTGTCAGGCAGCAGAGGACCTCCTCCAGGGCTACGATGGGGAGATCTTGGCTAACGGCAATGACCAGCGGTCCATCAACATCCGCGGGCGACTCTTTGAACGTTTCTTTGTCCTCCTTCACATTACCAATGTGGCCTCTAATGGCGAGCACTTGAACCGTGAATGTAGCTTGTTCACAGATGATTGTCGCTATGTCATTGTTGGCTCTGCTGCCTATTTGCCTGAGGAGCCCCACCCTCCCTTTTTTGAGGTTTACCGCAACAGTGAATCAGTGACACCTAACCCCAGGTCACCTTTGGAAGATTACTCTTTGCACATCATAGACCTTCACACAGGCAGGCTTTGTGATACCAGGACGTTCAAATGTGATAAAGTCATATTGTCCCACAACCAAGGGCTCTACCTATATAAAAATATCCTGGCCATTCTGTCTGTACAGCAGCAAACCATCCATGTATTTCAGGTAACACCTGAGGGCACCTTTATTGATGTACGAACCATAGGCCGCTTTTGCTATGAAGATGACCTCCTCACTCTCTCTGCTGTCTATCCAGAGGTTCAGCGGGATTCTCAGACAGGCATGGCGAACCCATACAAAGAACCGTTCATAAATTCTTTGAAGCACAGGCTGCTGGTCTACTTGTGGCGAAGGGCAGAACAGGATGGGAGTGCTATAGCTAAAAGGAGGTTCTTCCAGTATTTTGACCAGCTGAGGCAGCTTCGCATGTGGAAAATGCAGCTCTTGGATGAGAACCATCTCTTCATCAAATACACAAGTGAAGATGTGGTCACGTTACGGGTGACAGACCCTTCACAGGTATGGAGCTTGCCTTTGTGGGAGCTATTCTGGCAGGATATTGAAACTCTGATATTGTTCTTAGAAATCCTGTCGACCAGGCTGTTTTGAGTTTTTGTGTGTGAGTAACAAGGAGAGAGACGCGGGTGGCGCTGTGGGTTAAACCACAGAGCCTAGGACTTGCCGATCGGAAGGTTGGTGGTTCAAATCCCCACGACGGGGTGAGCCCCCATTGCTCGGTCCCTGCTCCTGCCAACCTAGCAGTTCGAAAGCACGTCAAAGTGCAAGTAGATAAATAGGTACCACTCCAGCAGGAAGATAAACGGCGTTTCTGTGCACTGCTCTGGTTCGCCAGAAGAGGCTTAGTCATGCTGGCCACATGACCTGGAAGCTGTACGCCGGCTCCCTCATCCAATAAAGCGAGATGAGCCCCACAACTCCAGAGTCGGCCATGACTGGACCTAATGGTCAGGGGTCCCTTTACCTTTATCTAACAAGGAGAGAGCTCCTGGATCAGGTTGAGGGTCATTCTATTCCACCATCCTCTTTCCAATAGTAGCTGGCAAGATGCTTCTGGAAAGCATCCAGGGATAAAGGCAATAGCCCTCCCATGTTGCTTATCCCTCCAGCCGCTGTATTTTATATAGTCAAGTTCCTAGTCAGGTTCCTAACCCTTAGAACCTGTCCAAGATATTTTAAATAAAAATGACATTTCTCCTTCCTTCTGTTACAAGAATTTATATTAAAGTTGTCATTTAACCTGCACTCAATATAATTCATATTCCTGGAGCCCGGTCCTATTGCATCTCTTCACTTTGCTTCAATGGCAGTGTTGTGTGTTTGTGTATTTATATTTACCATTGTGTCCCTGAACGCTCATTGAACAAAGGTTCTAGAACCATATAAACTTCAATCCTATATGGACCAAGTGATACTGTTTGGCTGCTGGAACTAAAGGAAATAGTGTCCTCAAATGTAAATTTCACTAGTCTCTGAAAAGGGGAAAAACCTGCAATCGTATATATTATTTAGTGAAAACATTTGTACCTGCTTTTTAGCCAAAAAGGCTACCTATAAAAATGTGGCTTCTCATTGCAACCACTCAGCTGGGGAGCCTATGCTGTAGCATTCTGATGGTGACTCTTTCACAACTGTCTCTTATGAAATCTGCAGCAGCTTCCTTTCCAAAATGGAGCAAGAGCCCTGTACTATTAAACAGAGTGGGAAACAGCTGAAGAAAGGAGGCATGCATGTTCATGCTGCTGGGTTGGGCTGTTTTTAGTTTCTTTCTTTTCTTTCCTGTTTGTGATGTTGATTGGTGTAGAAAGGTTAAAATTTTGATTCCCCCCCTTGCTCCTTTATTATTATTACTTTAAATCACCCCAGCCAATTGTGAGTCATGCCTCTCCTTCCATTAGGCAAGATTGATGGCCTGTTACTTTGATTCATCTGGAGCTCTTTTTTCCCTTCCCAGGCAATCCAAGAATGGGTTGAAACAGTGCTTCACAGAAACATCCAAAGCTACTTATGCCAAGTCTGACCATTGGCCCATCTAACTCAGTATTATCTACACTGACTGGCAGAGGCTGGTTTCTAGCAGGAGTCTCTACCAGTTCTACCTGGTGAGGCTGGGGAATGAACCTTGGACCTTCTGTATCCAAAGCACATACTATGCCACTGAATTACAGTCCTTCCTGGCTACTCCAGTCTTTGCTGCCTGTTGGAATAGTTGCACGTGGGTCCTTTTTCCATTTCCAAGCACAAATCAAAGTGCTGGAGCTTGTGTTTCAAGCCCTACACAGCCTGGGACCCTGGTGTCCGGGAATGGGGTCTGTTTCCCCACATCAACCTGTACAGCACTGATACTGTCTTCAGAACCCTTTCTTCATACCCTAACCCATGCACAATGAGCGATGAGGGATACAACATGAAACAGAACTGCAGTAGGTTGCAAAGTGGAAAGATGTCAGTGGAGCTAAGAAGCTCTTATTAGCTGCAAGTCAAATGGCAGCATTAATGTTCTAATATAGGGCATGATCTGAGGGCACATGGGGCCACCACCTTGCAGAAGCTATGCAGGTCTGGGTTTGTGCAGTGGTGGGTGCATGACCACCTGTGAGCCACATGTATGCTGCCTTGGGTCCCACGATGGATGGAAGGTGGGATATAAATGTAAGGAAAAAACCACAGAACAGAATTGCACTATGTGGTTGTTTGCCACTGAGACTTAATACTTTTTTAAAAAAATAATATCTTGGGGTCCCCACCATCCCTGACCATTGGTTAAGCTGGCTGGGCATGATTTGATTTGGAAGCTAGCAACATCTGGGGACCTAAGGTTGAGGAACACTGTCTTCTTGTCAACCTAACATCTGGTAGGCTGGGCCATGGCTGGGCTTTCTCAGGGCCTTGTGGCACCCCACTTGTGCAATTCATTTTCCAGGGAGGCTGGCTTAGCACCAGCACTGTTCTCTCTTTAATCTCTGGTGGGTTTAAACTCCTGCTAAAATTGTTTTAAAGTGCTGCCTTTAACAGTTGCTTCATTGATTACCATGATTCTATTATTTTACGATCTCTTGTAAGGGCTTAGGAGTTTAGGTTCATTAGTCATTAGTTTGGTTGTGACTCACTCAGTTGTGCAATGGGTCCCAGCAGATAGACCACAATTTTCTTTTCTTTTTTACTGAAGTGTTTTTAAGAGACAGGGAGAGGAGAAGGGCAGCGAGTGAGAGAGGAGGAAGAAAAGTGGACACAGGGAACCATGGACATAGAAAGTAGGCCTGTGTTGCAGGTTAGACTTAAAAATGGGTCAGGGGATTGAAAAGGTTGATCTTTGTGCTGGTTGATCAATTTGGGTTGTTATCTTGCAGTCAGTCACCTTGCTCTTCAGTTGCTAAATTTGACCGTTGAGTCCATTGATTGACCTTTTCAGATAAATGACTGGTGTAAGAGTTTCCTTGAATGACAACCATACAGTCTGATTTTGTCCACCTTTACCTGGAAGTAAGTGCTATGCGGCTTGCTCCCTGGTAAAGTGTGCGTAGCCCTGCAAGATGAATGCAAGTTAGTAGTGTGGCAATGGGTCACAAAAGGCCCACAGTTCTTTGTATACAAATGTTTCCCTTAGGGAGAGGGCTGGTATGGTGCAGTGGTCAGGGTTAGGCTGAGACATGGGTTCAAATGCCTCTTTAGCCACAACGCTTCGCGTGGACTTGTCACTTTCTTTTTTCAACCTACAACTCTACTATTAATAGATCAATTAATATCTCTGCTGCTGTGTATAATACTGGTTGACAGGACTGGCTTTGTGTAGGGATTCATAGGAATATTGCAAGAATGAGACAAAGTCTAGTATGCAAGCTGTGGGGGGTGGGTGGGTGGAAAGGGCATAAAAGGGTCTGGATATATGTAACCTGGATACCAGATTAAAATTGCTAATGGAAGCGCATGCTGATTAAAGTTAACATATATGTTGGAAAGGCTATTGGAGAATATGAGCTCTGTTATACACAGGACAAGAAGCAACTTATGGGTAGGCTCAATGTTGGGATGTAAGGGCCTTTAGAATCAATGGAATAAGCTGTCTGAAAAAGTTGTGTTTTTCCAGGAAAGAAGGGAGAGGTATTTATTGGGGCTGCTTCTGCACTCCCCAGAATCCTGCCTTTTTGAGGTCAATAAGCTGCATCTGTAAGACACTGGGTTGGACCTAGCACTTCCCTGCAAGATTAGAGTTTTCCCAAGGGGAAATCAATAGGGTCCTTGGGCACTTCCAGATACATTTTGTTGAGTAATCAGTGTGAAGTGTTGGTCTTAGTTGTTGTGTGGGATCCATTAGTGGTCTTTCACATTTATTAGGATAAAGAGTGCTAAGTGAAATTTGGTCGTCCAAAAGTTGCAAGCACCTATTGTAAGGGCGGGGAACCTCTGAGCCTTCAGGTGTTGATGAAGTACAACTCCCATCTGCCATATCAGGCATGGCCAGAGACTTATCAGTGTTTCAGTTCAGCAGTATCTGGAGGGTCAAAGGTTCCCCATACCTGATCTGTTGGAGACAGATCTGTTGGAGACAGACATCTGAGATGTCACTGGTTCCACTAAAGGTTGAATATGCAGGTCCAGGAAAGCTAGATGGTGCTTTCAGGATTTCACTCTCCACCCCCCTGCAAAAAAAACCCCCATCTTTGACAGTGATTGGAGTAGCAGAGAAACAGCAAGAGAGAATGTGGAGGGTAGGGCTTAGATTGCCAGTAGCAGGCAATTGACCCTGGCATGGTGGCTATAACAACAAGCTGCATTCCTTCCCCCCTCCATGACTTGTCATGGACTTGAAACTTTTCCTTTGTAAAAAGAAAAGGGGATGCAAGGATTCTGGAGATGCCAAACTCAGTGCAGACTTGAGTAATCGGTCTGTAGACATGCAGAAATAAACATAGACCTGATCTTTTGTCCATAGCATGTTACCTAGGGAAAGATTTCTTCACAAGCACCTAGGTGACTGATTGCAAAACCAAAATGCAGCTTTTGGACATTCTTGGATAAGAACGCAAGTAATTCAAAAGAAATAGTTAATGGCGCTCAGTCTTTCATTTCCCCAGCAGCGGGGGACCCTGAAGGGTACACCATTTACAGGCAACAGTGGAGCACAATGCGCTTTAAAAGGTTCCTCTCGGCATGTTGGAAATATTAAGACAGGAAAAGAAAATAAGTGTCCCCCCCAGCCCCTCCCCAAATAAAGCCTACCAACTCTCACCTTTCTGCATATACAGGGGAAAATAATTCATTGCCAGCCACCACCTGGCTTAAAAATCACTTCGCAGCAGGAGCTAAAATTAAATCTGCCACTCTGAAAAAACATTTCATGTTTGGCAGAGAAAGGAAACAGCAACATTGATGTGTCCAGTTTGAAATAAACAAAACAAGAATTGGAGGAATTTCACATTGCTTTGTTAATAATTTGACGGTAGTTAATAGCATAGTTAATCTGTCGCCCATTGCGATGGCTGGAAGTTACAATGAACTTGGCAGGTGAAATGCAGAATCCTCCCATCCAGCCACAAAACAGCGTCGTATCTTGGTTGGTTTAATGGCTTGGTGGTGCAAGTTGCTCACTTAACATGGCCTTTGTGTCTTCCACCTGGGCTCAGCTGGCTGACGTCAATTCTGCTTCCTCCTGCTCAGCCTTCGTTTTTTGTTGTGTACAACATGGTGACCACCGAGGTGATTGCTGTATTTGAGAACACGTCGGACGAGCTGCTGGAACTCTTCGAGAACTTCTGCGACCTTTTCCGGAATGCCACACTGCACAGCGAGGCGGTCCAGTTCCCCTGCTCGGCCTCAAGCAACAATTTCGCCAGGCAGATCCAACGCCGGTGAGCCCTTTGGACCGTGCATGGTTGCCCAGTCAGTTTGCAAAGCCAGTGAAGCTGGAGAGGCTAAAAACTGGCTTCAGTTTGAGCTCTCTGGCTCAACTAAATTTATTGCTATAGTGCCATTGGTGTACGTGGGTATAATAGGAATGATGATGATGATGACAGCAAGCATTTATGTAGTGCTGGGATAACCAACATGGTGCCCCCCAGTTGTTGCTGGACCTCAGCTCCCATTACCCCAACTAATGTGGCCAGTGGTCAGGGATAATGGGAGTTGTACAGTGGTACCTCGCAAGACGAATGCCTCGCAAGACGAAAGGGTTTTTGGTTTTTTGAGTTGCTTCGCAAGACGATTTTCCCTATGGGCTTGCTTCGCAAGACGAAAACGTCTTGCAAGTTTGTTTCCTTTTTCTTAAAACCGTTAATACAGTTGCGACTTGACTTCGAGGAGCAACTCATAGCATGCGGTGTGGTAGCCTTTTTTGAGGTTTTTGAAGACTTTGGTGATTTTTGAAGCTTTTCCAAAACTTTTCCGAAACCGTGCTTCGCAAGACGAAAAAACTCGCAGAACGAATTAATTTCGTCTTGCGAGGCACCACTGTAGTCTGTCAGCACTTTAGATACCCTCAATGTAGTGCTTTAACATGTTCCAAGTGCTTTACATACATTATCAGTCATCCTTAAACAGCCTTATAGGGTAAGCCAGTAGTTTTGTCCTCATATTGCGGAAAGTGAGGCTGGGGGTGCTGGGTTACCTAAGGCCAGCTTGTAAGTTCATGGCAGAGGCAAGGGTTTGTTCGTTGTTGCTTTTTACTAGACTGAGGTCCCTCAACCAGCACCATAGTGTGTACAGCGAGAGTGGAGCCATAGGCAAATGGTGGCCTAGTGTGGAGCTGATTACCTCCTGTACCCCAAGAGGCAAATATTGGGGTAACGTGCATATGCAACTGAAAATTACTTACTAATTACTTATAAATTGTAGCACAAAAACACTGTTTCATGTTGCAGTAGCCACCTGACTGGATAACTGTAACACACACTATTTGGGGCTGTTTTTGAAGACTGTGGAAACTGCAGCTCATCCAGAATGTGGCTGGCTGAGTGGCAAAGCCCATTGGGACCACATAGCACTAGTTCCAAAGAGCCTGAACAGGTTGCCTGTGTGTTTCTGATCCCAGTTCACAGTGTTAACATTGACATTGACTCTGGACCCCCTGAATGACTTGGGCCACAATACCTTTTTCTGTACCAACCTGCCCAGGCTTAAAGGTCAGCGTGGCAGGCCCTCTTGGGGTTGCACTGCCAGGTGAAGTGGAAGGTGTGGTGATGTGGGAAATGGCCTTCTCTGTGGTGCATCCCTGCCTCTGGAATGCCCTCCCCACAAAGATGCATCGGTGCCAGCGCTACCTGGCTTTAGTGCCAGTTTAAGATTAATCTTTTTATTCACGCTTTTGGATGAGTTGTGGCCTGTTGCTGATTATATGTTTCACCTGCTGCCTTTTACATTGTACATGAATTACTTTTAAAAGGTTCGTTTTATGCTTAGAATTGCTTTATGATAATTGCTTAACATGACTGGTGTTGACCTGTTTTGTTATTTTATAGCAACTCTGTAGATTTGAGGGGGTGGTGGTGGATTAGAATAAAATCAGACAGCAGAACTGCACAAAGATGAGATCAAAGGGAACCAATTAAGACTCCTGTTTTACAAGTGAGGAACACTGAGGCTGAGACAGAAGCAATTAGCAAACGGCCATCCATGCCATACACAAACACACACACTATTGTTCAACTATTGGGAGTGAGAAACTCCTGCTGTCCTACAGATCGCCCAGAGGACTAGCAGATCTACTTTCTGCTAGCCTCTGCTCTAACCACTGCATTATTATGGCCCTTTGTCTGGCTTGAGGAAGAATGGGGCATACCAAAGGGATTCTGGAAGAGAGATGTTCTAGCTGGGAGTCTATATAAGAAGGGTGGGTGGCATGAGAGCCAGCAAAGTCCATGCATACGGCACAACAAGGCAAATAATGATTATTTGTGAATTGTACACTTGAGTCCAGTGACGAGAGCATAACACACTCTTCTATCTCCAAGGCAAGAAAACTACTTTAGACTGTGTACTGGAAAGCATTTTCTAGGCAGCTCAACAAGAACAAGGTCTTCTTTGCCTCCACCTGCCTGTCCCTCACCTTTACATAATCTAAACAACATCTGAGGATGGATTTCCCCATCATCCTTCGACCTTGGAGGAGCCATCTGTAGCTCTTAGAGAAAACTTGTATTAATTTGATGGGTTCCTAATCCATCTCTTTCCTCCCACATTTCTACTTTCTGCTGTATTATGTAGCTTAGGGGCTCTTGAACCTAGGAAGGAGCCAATTTGTATCTGTTAAATTCAAGGCTACCTCCAGAAAGCAAACTATGAGTGCTGTTTAAGGGGAATAAGGCATCCAGTTCGTTATAAAGGCTTTTAATTATTGCAAGGCTGAAATCTTTGACTGTTAGATTAATCAACTAAAGCTTCAGTTGATTAATTGGTGGGAGTCAGTGTTGATCAGTAAAGCTGTGGGTTGATGGCAGGTCTTTGACCTCATGCTCATCAGAGTGGAGCATACTAGCAAGGGTCAGCTCTTCTAGAGGCAGGATCAAACTTTTAAGGGGATGCAATAATGATAGCCAGTCAGAAGGGGAGTGAACCTTCCTCAAGTATCCAAACTTGACTCTGCCTTCAGCAAGACTGCAGAGTAATCCTCTGACTCTTGTATGCTACCATCATAGGTGCAGGGCCCCATTTTTGCTAGCTCTTAGGATTTCTTTAAAAACTGCTTTGAGTTGCATGCGTTACTTTAATGGAATCTGCTAAAGAATATATTAAAGGTTGCTTCTCCTTTCAACAATGTGCAGTGGCTGTGCTGCTTTTTTAATGTGCTTTTATCTTGTTGTGAAGAAGCAACATAAAAAGGCACCTAAATTGAATGTATATGCATTTAATTGATTGGCTCATGCGGTAGCATCAGGACACCTCCTTCCACATTGATTTTATCTGTTGAGGTCCCTCCCTGGAGACATCTGTTTTGACATGGAACCTCAGGTCTGTTGCAGAGGATTTTGGACAGTGCTCTAGGACTCCCACTCAGTTTGTTTGGTGTCCTGCCTGAACGTGTTGAGTCTTATTGTTGCCCTGTGTAAAGTGAGTCTGCACCTTAGAACTTGGCCAGAGTAGTACACCTGTGGCTAGCTGTTGCAGGGGAACGATCCGTAAGGATAGGCTCACTGTCTTTCAGGGAAGCTTCCTCCATCACTCATCTTCTCACTGAGGACCCCATAATGTGCTTCCAGCGAACGAGCACACTTTGAACACAGTTGCACCAAGCAATTGCTGCTTAAAATGCAGATGGTTTGTCAGCAAAAAAATACTGTGTAACTCTGGAGTGGGGAATCCTTGGCTCGCCAGATGTTGGATTACATCTTCCATCATCCCTGACCATTGGCTTTGCTTACTGGGACTTGGGAGTCTAATAGCATCTAGAGGGTCACAGGGTCCCCAACTCCTGCTATACAGTTGTACCTTTGTTCCTGAACGGCTTAGTTGCCGAACAAATTGGCTCCCGAACGCCGCAAACCTGGAAGTAAGTGTTCCGGTTTGCAAGCTTTTTTTGGAAGCCGAATGTCTGGCACATCTTCCACTTGAGTGCAAGACGCTTCTGCAGCCAATTGGAAGCCGCACCTTGGTTTCTGAACCGTTTCGGGAGTCAAACGGACTCCCAGAATGGATTCAGTTCAACAACCAAGGTACCACTGTAACTGGTTGGCATATGAAACTGCTAGCTTTTCACACCCACCCACCCACACACCAAAAAAGAAATCCTTGAAATTGCAGTAGAAGTGCTGGGAATTGTGGCTCAGCAAGGGGTCTTCTATAAACTCTAAGCCAGGGGTCAGCCACCTAAGGGCCATAGGCCGGAAGTGGCCCGCGGAGCTCATTTGACCGGCTCCCGAGACGCTTCTGAACCGAGCTGCCCGCTCACGTGCTGCGCTAAACGAGCACGGTGCAGGAACTCTCTTCTGCGGCACCAAAAATTGCGTCTGCATGGACGCAGATGCCAAAAATTGCATCTGCGCACATGCAGACACTGAAAATCGTGCGCGTGCGATCTGGCCCACAGAGGGATCTCCGCGGGACTGATCCAGTCCAGGCAAGATAAACCTTGCCGACCCCTGCTCTAAGCACTCTGAAGAAACTGCAGTCCCCAGGATTCTTTGGGGGAAGCCAGGGCTGTCAAAGGGGCATCATATTTCTTTAAATGTATGGTTTGGATGCGACAGTGCTCTGTACAGCAACTGGCAGCAACTTTCTAAGGCCTTGGGCAGAGTTTCTTCCCATTGCTGCTTCCTCAGATATTTTTAGCTTGACGTGGCAGGGATGTGCTCCATTGAAACATGGATCCCTCCCTTCCTTTTGTATCTTTCTATCTCTGCTTCTCCCAAGGCTAAGGCTTAGCGTTGTGGGTGGTGGTGATTTTTGTTTCGTGCCTTTCATCTCTATACCGCCAACCTGCCTGTTGCCTTCAGATTCAAGGACACCATTGTGAATGCAAAGTACGGTGGGCACACGGAAGCCGTGCGGCGGCTGCTGGGGCAGCTTCCCATCAGCGCTCAGTCCTACAGTGGCAGCCCCTACCTCGACCTCTCCCTCTTCAGTTATGACGACAAGTGGGTGTCTGTCATGGAGCGCCCCAAGACGTGTGGGGACCACCCTATCAGGTATGTGGCGTGCCCCCGTGATGGTCCATGTTTAGGTCTAGTACACAAGACCTTTGTATATCTAGCGCATTGTGAAGGGGAAGGCTGGCTGCTGGCTTACATGAGCCTTAGTCTGATCTAGCTTTCACTGTTCTTACATTCGGATGTTGCTTGTTGTGATGCTGCTAGGTGTCTTCTAAGAACCATTGTTACCCATGCCAGCATTGATTCCCTCCTCTTACCCAGACTCTCTT